TCTCTTGGATTTGTCTGCATAAATTGGAAAAATCATGCAGTTCTTTTGGCGTGTAGCACACTTCTTCATGGCTCACGGTCTGTACCTTTCTCTCTGGGGCCTGGTGGGACTTGAGTCTAGTTACAGGTCCAGGAAAGAGGGGAGGGCATAGGATCTAAGAAGAATCATAAGTGCCCTGCAAGGCAGCTACTTCGGGGAAGGCCATATGGTTTCCCAAAGGGTTAAGAAATTGTGATGAGGTCAGGCGCATGGCTCACACCTTTAATCCCAGCACTTTGGGAGGCTGTGGGTGAATCTCTTGAGGTCAGGAGTTTGAGACCAACCTGGCTATTGGGGTGAAACCCTGTCTCTACTAAAAATACAGAAAAATTAGCTGGATTTGGTGGTACGTGCCTATAGTCCCAGCTACTCGGGAGGCTGAGGCAGGAGAATTGCTTGAACCCAGGAGACGGAGGCTGCAGTGAGCCGAGATTGCACCTCTGTACTCCAGCCTAGGCAACAGCACAAGACTCCAACTCAAAAAAAAAAAAAAAAAGAAAGTGTGATGATTACGACAGTAGGGAAATAACACCCTCACACTTGCTGCGAATCTGTGTCCACACAGCTGGACCCAGGGAGGGGTAGATGGGCTGTTTCTGCTGGCAAGGAGCATAACAGAATTTAGGGATTCAATGTCCCCAGCTTTACTGGAATCTTCCCTTATGTTCCCATTCCAATTTTCAAGTTGCCCTCACTTTAACTGAAGACGTCCTGCAAGGTTGGAATTCAGGAATTTGATCTGCGACATAATTCAGCCACATGCGAGATGAGACTTTGGGTTTCCTTTTCACAAGTCTTAGCCCTGGCCAGGCAGGATGGCTCACAAATGTAATCCCAGCACTTTGGGAGGTTGAGGCAGGCAGATCACTTGAGCTCAGAAATCTCAGCCCTGCAGCTACAGGAGATAAAGGTCTCTTCTAAGGAAGTCACCACGCCCAGCTAATTTTTTTGTATTTTTAGTAGAGACAGGGTTTCACCCCAATAGCCAGGTTGGTCTCGAACTCCTGACCTCAAGAGATTCACCCACCTTGGCCTCCCAAAGTGCTGGGATTAAAGGTGTGAGCCACGCGCCTGACCTCATCACAATTTCTTAACCCCTTGAGAAACTGTATGGCCTTCCCCGAGGTAGCTGCCTTGCAGGGCACTTTGGATTTTTCTTAGATCTTATGCCCTCCCCTCTTTTCAGGACCTGTAACTAGACTCAAGTCCCACCAGGCCCCAGAGAGAAAGGTGCACACTCTAAGCCATGAAGAGGTGTGCTTTTATGCAGAGCTTGAGCTGGGAATTTGAAACTCTGAGCTCATCCTTTGTTTTCTCCACTTTGTCCAGTGTAGTTGGGAGCAACCAGCCAATTTAATACTCCCTAGTTTGACTACAATGTTCTAAGGGGCGGGGGGTGTAAAACATAGCCAAGGAGGACAGATGCAGGGGATAGTATGGCTGCTGGCTCATGCCTGCACTCTCCCCTGCATCATGTGGATGCTGTCTTCTCCCATTTATGACAGGGGTAAGGGAAGGGATGCGCTGTAAGATTTCTGGGCCTGACTGGGTGACTTCCACAAGCTCCTCTGAATTCATGCTCAGTCTCCAATCGTGGAGGACCCTGAGGCTGGGAGTGCTGTGCTTTCAGTGCTTTGCATGGTCAGCAGCCCCGGCTTCTCCTTTTCTCCAGTCTCAATCTCCCTACCCACTTCATACTCATGTGGAATTCTCTCCAGTTCTTCCACACCACGTTCCCTCTGCCTCTGCACCGGCAGAGCTCTCTTCCTCTCTCTGCCTGTCACTCCTGCTCATCCTGCAGCCCGTGTCGGTGGTACACTTCCATTGCTGCGCGGGAGTGCTGGGATGGGGCTGCGGGTGTTATTTCCCTGTCCTCGAACTCCTCACACCTGTCTGCCCTCGCTGCTGTACTTGCCACCCACAGCCGACTATAAGACCCAGAGGGCAGGGGCCATGCCCAACCTATGCCTCATTCTGTCTCCTGGCTCCCACGCCATATTTGGCACATAAGGACGGCTAAAAGAACTGTAGAAGAGGTCCACTCCTGAGAGGGAGTATTTATAGTCTCAGATCTGCCAGTTACGGGTTTGAGACCTTAAGACAGGTCTCTCATCTCTGCAAGCCTGTACAAAATGGGAGAACACCTAGATCGCAGGGCTGGCTGATAAGACAGAGACTATCCTACATACATTCAAGTACTTTGAAAAGGACCAAGTAATTACTCCATAAAACCTGGGATTCTCCAGGAGACCTGGAGCCTCCCCCTTTGTCAGTCAGACTGTAGACAGGTATGGCTTCTCGTCTCCCTCCTGGCTATGGAAAGAATATTTATCTCCTAAGACTATACTTTCAGGGATCATTTCTATGGTTGGTTACCAAAGAAGTTTCTCTGAACATGTAGAGCACTGGTAAAAATAAATAAATAAATAAGAAATTATTTATTTATTGAGACAGTGTCTCACTCTGTCGCACAAGCTGGAGTGCAATGGCGCAGTCTTGGCTCACTGCAACCTCCCCCTCCCGAGTTCAAGTGATTCTCCTGCCTCAGTCTTCCGAGTAGCTGGGATTACAGGCGCCCACCACCACGCCTGGCTAATTTTTGTATTTTCAGTAGAGACAGGGTTTCGCCATGTTGGCCAGGCTGGTCTCAAACTCTTGACCTCAAGTGATCCACCTGCCTTGGCCTCCCAAAGTGCGGTATTACAGGCATGAGCCACCGTGCCTGGCCAAAAATAAATTTTAAAAAAGTTTATCTCCATTGTTTATTGTGTAAAATGTCACATCTAACAAAGTATGTTTGCTATGTAGAATGCCAAAGGAAGTGTTGATTTAGTAACTCATTACTAAATTTCCCAAAATGAGGCACATGGATAGTCCTAGGCCGTTCTCAGGAAGGCAAAGCCCCAGCTTCAGGCGTATTAAAGGCCCCAGAAGGCCTGCAGTGAAGAAATCTATGAACTTGGATCAACCTGCGGGTTCCAAAATGTACTTGATCATGAAGCTCATTTTTTAGGGGCGGGGGTGGAGTGTTTCTTCTACAGAACTAGGATTCAAGAAATTACACCTTAAAAACACAGACTTAGAAAGCCGCTATAGCCAGAGCTAATATCTGGGGTTTTGTTTTTTCAGTTATTTACTTGCTACTTAATAATAAACGCCCAAACCAATAATTTCCTAAGTATTCAGAGTCGTGTGTGGCCCATGATCATGCCACATTGAGTAGCTGTGGTGGAAGCCCTGAATTTCAGCCATGTCCCACCTGTCAGCCGTCTTAGACCTTAATTGCTGAGAGTCCCGTTTGCCCCCATGCAGATGGGGTGCCAATCTGAACCCTGGACAGCTCTGTTCAGGGGCACCTTCCTGGCACTATTTATTTTGGGCCTGTAGAACCTAGAGTTTAAGCCACAAACTGACATTTCAGGGGGTGAAACCTCGGCTCCTTTAGAAGCAGATGGTACCACAGCTGCCTGGGGCCTTGCGCCCTTTGCCAAATGGTGATGGCCTTGCCTCTGAAAAGAAACAAGCTTTTCCACCCAAGACTTTGGGAATCCTTAATGTTCGTTTTCCTAAACTAGCAGGACCTCATTCCCAAGCATGTGCAGAATCCAGCTGTTTGGCAGGAAGAGCACATCCTGTGGCTGAGCTTTTACCCTTCTTTCCTTGAACTGGAGAGAAGGTGAGTAATTTCACACCTCATCATTTTTCCCCCATCATTTCAAACCCACTCTAGTTACAAGTTATTTCTTCCTTGAAGCAAATTATCTCTTCGCAATTTGTGAATATTCATTGCCTTCTGATAGTTCTGTTCCAGAGGCACACAGTTATTTGAAACTTTTTGCTATTTAACTCCTTACAAAAGGGTTTCAGTTGGCTTTGAAAGCATAACCACACATAAGACATTTTTGTACCTACCCAGCGTCTTGCCATGAGTTGTTTAGTGAATGTTTATCTTATGTAAACAATGTTTACAATAAGGATTCATTTAAATGATCACAAAAGGCTGATTTACTTTGCCAAGTAGAACACCTACCATAATATTACTCATGTAAAAATATATAAAACTGTGCTTTAAAGATTAGTTGCTGGCTGGGCACGGTGGCTCATGCCTGTAATCCCAGCACTTTGGGAGGCTAAGGCGGGCAGATCACCTGAGGTCAGGAGTTCGAGACCAGCCTGGCCAACATGGTAAAACCTCGTCTCTACTAAAAATACAAAAAAATTAGCCGGGCGTTGTGGTGGGCGCTTGTAATCCCAGCTACTCGGGAGGCTGAGGCAGGAGAATCACTGGACCCCAGGAGGCGAAGGTTGCAGTGAGCTGAGATCATACCACTGCACTCCAGCCTGGGTGACAGAGCAAGACTCTGTCTCAAAAAAAAAAAACCACCACCAAAAAACAAAAAAATGATTAGTCACCACAGTAGTACTTAAAGGATTAAAATTACAAACATAAGCTCAGCTTACAAAAAGCATGAAATTTGAGCAGGTGAAACTATTGCAGATTTGCCAAGGTGAAACCACTAACTACTAACTTTAAATGTGGGGAATTTAACTTTGATGGGTTCCTATATAAGCCAGCACTGTTTAAATCACGAAATGGGGGAAACACAGGTATATTCTTAGTAAATTAAAACTTTTAAGCTGAATGTGATGGTGCATGCCTGTAGTCCCAGCTGCCCAGGAGGCTGAGGCAAGAGGTGGCTTAAGCCAGGAGTTTGGGGCTGTAGTCCGCTACCATCCCACTTGTGAGTAGCCAATGTACTCTGGCCCAAGGAACAAAGCGAGACCCCATCTCAAAAACAAACACCAACAAAAACTTTCATGGCCTTACCTGGTCATTCTTACTGGCACAAATAGTCCTCTTTGGAAAAACAAGCATTCAGGTTAAACACTGGCAACTCAACTGTTGACTATCTAGATACAACAAACGCAGAGTAAACTGCTAGGATGATAGGAGTCTCTCCCAGGGTCATTCATAGTAAAACTTTATTGAACAGAAAACCCAGCAAAGGTTTTCACCTCCGCAAAGTTCCCCTTAGTTTAAAGTAAAGCACTGCATTTTAAAAAGCAATTATACATAAGTCTTTCCTAGAAAAGTCCTGCTAAAACATGTCTAGCAATTTCATTGATTATATAAAGTAGTACACTTAGTGTAATTTAAACATTCCAACAGGAATCAAATCGTACCAGCAGAACCACTTCTGCATCTATGACTTCTATGTACAAACACACATGCAGACACACACATTTGGAAAAGTTCCTCAAGCATAAACATGCGACACCTAAGGCCTTCTACTTACAGTGCCTATTAAACTACATACAGTATATATTAAAGCTCTTCAGAATAAAGACATGAGAAGCCTTGGGCATTTTTTGTTCACCAATTTGTATCGCGGCTTCACGTTTCTGCTTTTGCTTGATCACAAAAGCATATCATCCTCCACGCTGTTTTTAAAGAACTCATCATTGCCATGTCCAGGAGAGGCAATCTAGCTGGAGTCAGGTGATGCAGTCCATTCCTGTCAAAGCCTCCAGCAGCTACAGCACAAACACCATCAGTTTGCGATGGCTGGGGGGCCTTCTGGAAGAAGAGAGGCAAAGAAAGTCTTGAAGACAAGCCATGCTGTGCTCATAAATGAGGGGCTGGTCTGCTCGCCATCTAGCATGTCCCTGTCTGGAGGGAGGTGGTTGGGGTCTTCAGTTTCGGGATCGGTGCCTTCCTACAGGTAATGAAACACAATGAGAAAATGATTAGGGCTGTGATGAATACCAAATAATGTTAGGAAAGGGCAGGGTAAATCCCTGCCCCCTGCCCCCTGCCCCACAGGCACAGCAGCAGGCAGCCAGGACCCCAGGGCATGATGCCCTAGGCTGGATAGGGCTCTTTCTCAGGCTTCCACAGCACAACCGTGTTGATGTTGTCAGAGTTTTGAATACTCCTGGCAGCAAATATCAGAGCAAATGAAACAACTAGATCTGCAACTATTATTATTTTTGAGACAGAGTCTCACTCTGTCACCCAGGCTGGAGTGCAGCGGTGCAATCTTGGCTCACTGCAACCTCCGCCTCCCAAGTTCAAGCCATCCTTCCGCCTCAGCCTCCCTAGCAGCTGAGAATACGGGCACGGCTAATTTTTATATTTTTAGTAGAGATGGGTTGTCACCATGTTGGCGAGGCTGGTCTTGAACTCCTGACCTCAGGTGATCCACCTGCCTCAGTCTCCCAAAGTGCTGGGATTACAGGCATGAGTCACCACACCCAGGCTTCAACTATTATTAAACTAGTAGTTAACCACTTCATACCAGTTCTTATGGTATAACACACTGTTACAGACCACTGAACGCTCAAAATAGTGGGTTTAAAAAAATGTTATTTACTTAAGCCAAAATGCAAATTGCCACATGTCAAAAATATGTGATAGAATGTGATGGCACATTCGATGTTTTAAAAATAGCTGCTGCTCTAAGAAGAAATGTGAACAAATCATGAAATATTTAGCCCAATAAAATGGTAAACCACAAGCTGGAAATCTAAAGGTTACGGATTTGAGAGCCTGGCATATCATGTCAAGCTTGCCTGGGCTTCACGGGAGGCTCCATACCTGTAAGTTATTGTTGGGGTCCTGATTTACAACGTCAGGAGGAGGACCATCATTTGGGAAGTTCTGAACCAGCCTCGGTCTAAATGGAAACCACCCAACGTGATGCCTTCAAAGGAAGCACATAAAAATCCATCTTAGCTGATGTCACAGTGAGACTTACTCAAGAATCCAAGGCTCCCCACCTCTAATCATAGCAGTACCCTGATGATAAGCTCACTGCAAGACCCATCTACAGAGGCGTTTGACCACTGAAGGCAGGGACTGTGTTTTATTCATCATTGCACACCTAGCAATATAAATAGCACCTGGCACATGGTATGCACTCAATAAATGCTTATTTATATGAACTAAACTTTGCCCTTGAAAACCTGCACAAAGTGGGGAGAAAGCATATACCTACAAAACTATCATTATATATAACATAATGACAACCTACATTTGGTCATTTAAATATATGATTCTAGAGACTATAGAAAATATTAACTAAATGTTTGATTTGAAGAAACCAATTAAATCCCAAGTCTTAAAACAAATATAACAAAATATTAGCAATGATTAATTGTGGATATTTGAGTGTTCATTATATTCTAATTATTTTTTATTTTTAAAAGCTAAAATAAAAATCCATTTTTACTATAAAGGAAAATTTCTTCTTTTAGTTTCAACCACGAAGACTCATCACTCTAGGCCAGGCTTTCTCAGCTTTGGCACTAGTGACATATTGAGCCAAATATTTACTGTGGGAATTGTCCTGTGCATTGTAGAAAATTCAGGAGCACTCTTGCTTCTATTAACCAGATGCTAGCAGGACCACTTCCCCTAGATGTGACAAACAAAAATACCTACACATTGCCAAATGTCCCCTGGGGAGAGAGAGTACAAAACCACCCCCAGGTGAGTACTGCTCCAGGCCACAGCTAAAACCAAATGTTCAGGTATGTGAAGATTCCCTTGCCTTTTCAGGGCTATGCTAACAGTCAGTACCTGACCTTTACCCTGGAAGGGCAGCTGTGGCCTGATAACAAAATATGTTCTCATTTCAAACAAATACAATTTGCTGTTCAAGCCTCAAGTATGGCAACAAATCTGGGTTTGTGAGGCCTGGAAAGGTGAAGGTAGTTATCTAGGAGGACAGAGATATATCTTGTATTATACAGGCATTGATATAGTTTCATTGGACCATACAACCAACCAAGGCATGATTCCCTTTACTGAACATGCCAGAATGATAATGACCTTTATTTTTTATCTAAGAACAGGTCTGCGTCTGTCACCCAGGCTGAGCCAAGTGCGTGCGACTCTTGGCTCACTTGCACCTCTTGCCTCCTCAGTTCAAGCAATTTCCTGGCTCAGCTACCCAAGTAAATCACAGGCCCGGCGATCCACATAGCCTGGCTCATTTTTTGATTTTTAGTAGAGACGGGGTTTCACCATATTGGCCAGGATGGTCTTTGACTCTTGCTTCATGTGATCTTCCTCGCTCCTCGCCCACCAAATGGCTGGGTTACCAGGCGGTGAGCCACTGCGCCCAGCCACAGTAATGATATACTATTTAAACACACCTCCTCTACCAGTAACCTGGATTGGGGCCTCAAAAAAGAGCAAAATCGGGCAGGCGCAAGTGGCTCACGGCCTGTAAAAACCAGCACTTTGGGAGGCCAAGGTGGGCGGATCACTTGAGGTCAGGAGTTCGAGACCAGCCTGGCCAATATGGCAAAACCCCGTCTCTACTAGAAATACAAAAATTACGAGCGTGGTGGCAGGTGCCTGTAATACCAACACCCAGGAGGCTGAGGCAAGAGAATCGCTTGAACCGGGAGCGGAGGTTGCAGTGATCGTGCCATTGTACTCCGGCTGAGTGACAGAGCGAGACCTCGTCTCAAAAAAAAAAAAAACACACAAAAACGAAGAAAATCTGCTTAGTGTGAACACAATGTAGTGTAATTTGTATTAGAGAAACCATCTGCTTACAGGTACATAACAACGGTGGCCCCCATGACCATGAGGAATCTGCTCAGAGAGGAGTAGAAGTAGAGGATACTGAGAAAAACAGAAAATGTAGCTGCTGAATAGGTCCAATCCAACCAATCTCGATTTATTTCATCATCTTCTTCCACAATAGGGCCACCTTGTGCATTCATCCGCAAATTTTGATTGGCTCCAGGATTAACAACCACTTGAGGAGCAGCATTCTGATTGGCTGGCTGGTTTTCAGCTGGAAACTGGTTGTGAATAGGGGCTGGAGCAGGTGCAGAGACCACAGGTATCTCTTGTGCACTTGGTGGTGGAACAAAAGCCCCCGATGCAGCAGTGGCTGCTAAACTAAAATAAAAATGACAGAGGCAGATACTGTTGAGACCAAAGCACCGTGAAGTCTGTGGCTTATTTACACAGCAGTCTTTTACTGTTAAGAATTTGAAGTAGGTAGATATGCATTTGATTCTTCTTCAATTTAGTGAAGAACTTCCTTACTAACTATATCTATAAATGCCTTTTCTAAGAGAAGCCACGTGGTGAATTTCACCTGGAATTAAACATCAAGGCCACTGTAAGATTATGGCACAGTAGCAAATTACAATCTTCACAAAAGTTTGAAGGTACCACAAATTGAAAAGAAAGTAACGTGTTCTAAATAAAGTCACTAAACTGTGTATCAGACAAAAACACCCTTGTGTCAATATACAAATCAGGTAACAGCTGTCATTTACACTCTACTCCACCCACAGACCAAACAGAGCAGGGTTCTGCAGACTGATGAAAATACATTCATCCCTCCATTCTGAACTTTACAGGTAACATGGATAAAATTCCTCTCAATTCCCAGGAGCCCTGGCCACACCCAGCACAGCGGGAAGGACTCACTATTGCATGTAGTACTGTCGTGCATATATCTGCTGGAACCAGGAAAGCTGAAGCCACCCATAGGGTGTGTAACCGGAGAAACCAGGACCCAGGCCTTGGAATGCCTGCTGGGCAGCTTCAGGCCTATACACAGATTTAAAAAAACACTCATTTTGAGTGGGTTGAGTATGAGCAAATGAAAACTAAGTTTAAATTAAAATCTAGAATTCAAATTGAAGAGACAGAAGAATGGGATTTATGGCAGTTACATGGTAAATGACTGTATGATGCACCCATGTACCATAAGCACGGAAGGTACTAAATGACACAGCACTTCTACCACAGTCCTATCCCACAGGAAAACAACAGCCCTTGCCACCTACTTGCTGAGTGCACGTATAAACAACCTTTTGGGGTTAAGTAGACAGATCCCTGCTCAGTTCTGACTTGTTGAGTCTCACTGCAAGTCTCAACCCACTGTTTATCTTTTAGAGGGCAGCTCAAAAGTCACATTTCTCCCAGTCTTTCCTGAAGGAAATCTCTCCCATCCTCCTGATATCCACACTTCTTCCTCCACCCTCCATCTGTATCTATAGTGATGTGTGCATGTGGCATCACCTGCGCATGCTTACTGACTACCTGGGGTCCTGTACAGGCTGCTGCATCCACAGCAATCTCACGAAGGAGATTTTACAAGGGGAACCCAAGTACAGCTCAGGGAAGACAGGGGCTTTACACAAGGTCGCCGAGCTAGTTAAGTAGCAAGGCTGGATTTCAGAGCTGGTCTGATGTCAAATGCACGCTTCTTTAATCAGGCCACACAGCCCTCAACTTCATAGGGCAGGTGTATGTGGGTTATCTTTGGCTTTGTGCTTCTTACACAGTGTTTTTCTTCAGTAGCACATCACAAAATTGAAAGCATAATAGAATTGCCCGAAGATCAGAAATTGGTTATGTGGTCATTTGTGCAGGTCAACTCATATCCTTAAGCACAGTTATATGTACTGGCTGTTCAATAAGTATTTGTTAAAGGAAATCAAGTTTAACTATGGTGAGATTCAGAAAGTCAAATACGAGCCTCAATTCTCAAGTTAGAAATAGTTGAATCAGAATAAGGGAAGAAGTTTTAAGTTTTTCTAACCAATAATTTTCTATCCAATAATTATCCAATTTATATGCTGACAATCTTTTAACTAAATTCCATACACAGAGTATTTCTAAAATAGTATTCCAATACAAGTAAGCCTTGGTATGATACTGTTTTTGATCATTTAAGAAAATTACAGTGCATGGAAATGAAATGATAGAGTGCTTTTAAGATTTTTGTTAGATCTGATAATGGCATTCTAGATATACAGGATAACTAAAAGGTTTTCATAGTTATATACTCAAGTATATAGGGATGAAATAACATAACTGGGGATTACTTTTAAATACTTAAAAAAAAGGGGGAAAGGGTAATAGATGAGGTATGGTAAAACTCTGATTGTTATTTATTAGGCCTGGATGATGTTGTGGGGATTAATTATCTAGTCCCCACTGTTGTGTATATTTGAAAGTTCCATTAAAGGGAAAAAAAAGAAAAACTCACTCCTGAAACACCTGGCTTTATAAAATATTGCATATAAAAACTACTAGGAAAAGGGGGATGGGGAATTGGAGAGTTATGGAATTTCAACTTGTAGTTAATGAATTTTTCCCAAAAAACAAGGTATTCCAAGAGCTACAAAAATCCAAAGAACACAGCATTTAGTTTTGACTTTTGCTCTAAAGAAATGCTTTAATGGTTATAAAAAATGGCCAACTTTCCTAGTACCCCCAAGTCTCTGGAAGAATACTTCTTAAACAGTCTCTCCCTTGTTGTCACCCATTGTTACAATAAAGCACAAAGCCACTCAGCAAGGCAGCCGCACAATGCTTACAACAGCTTTTTCTCCTGCAGCAGCAATTTTCTAGCATGACGGCAACCAAGTGGTCAGCACAATGGAAGGATAAAACACCTACATTTTTTTTTCAATATATGCATTGCCTACTGTTTAAATTTGTATATACTAAAAGGCTGTGTATTAAGAAAAGTTAAATATATAAGACATCTTTAAAGCGAAGCTATTTGTAAAGCAAAATTCTGTAGGTTTAAAAGTTCTGATTATATACGTGTAAACACACCTTACTCTTAAATGGATGCAAATGAGGCACATTCACGTTGCATAAGCCGAGATCTTTATTATAACACTCACCTTGAGATGTTCTCCCATTCAGGGGAAGAAAGGTTCCGAAGAACTTCCCTTTGCCTTAAACCATCACTTGAGGAATCCTCAGGATACTGTCCCCGATTAGAACCAGCGGGCTGCTCTGTGGATTCAGCCACCTAAATAAGTGTAACATGAACACAGAACAAGGGAGCTGATGCAACTGTCTGAAATCAAGCAAAAGGAATTATTTTGCTGTCAAGGGCTTAATGTCTCCTACCCCCCACCTCTGAACATGACAAAATTAAATAGAAGCAACGTTATGTAAAAAATAGTCTGACATTTATTAAACACAATTTTCAATACACAGATGCTAACATATTCATTTTTTTCCCTACAGTAACGATGCTACACTTTCATTAAAATTTCATTAAAATCTTCCAATGAAGTTGTCATTGGTGAGAAAGCTTCTTGATAATGGTGCTAAACTTACTCATTGCAGAAATCTGACCAACAAGATTTATAAATAGAACCCGGCCCAAACTTTCTAAAATAGTATTCTCATACAAGTAAGCCTTGGTATGATACTGTTTTTGATCATTTTTTAAAAATTACAGTGCAGGGAAATGAAATGGTAAAGTGCTTTTAAGATTTTTGTTAGAATTGATAATGGCAAAATAGGGAATTTCCTATGCTCTGTTCAGATGTTCTAGGAAATATAATGCAAATTTAGAGTACATCACTACACTAGAATACTAACACCATATATGTGAATAAACATTGTGAAATGAAAAATAAATGTTTTTGTCTGTCACATAGAAGTCTTTAGAGCCAGGTCCAGTCGCACATGCCTGTAGTCCCAGCTACTCAGGAGGCTGAGGTGGGAGGATCGCTTGCCCTCAGGAGGTTGAGAAAAGCCTGGGCCACATAGCAAGACCATATTTAAAAAAAAAAAAAAAAATTCTTTAAAGATCACTTGATAAAGACTCTGATCTTTTCCTATCCAACTAATCATAATGAAAATTTCCAGAGGAAATATATTCACTTTTGTACTCTATATAAAAATTAATGGCTCCTTTGAAAAAACTTGCTATGTGCTAAATTCAATAAAAATCCAATCAGTGTTAGTTCAGTAATCTCGATACACAGTAACCATAGATCAAATCATATCCCAGAAGATAGTGCAAAATGTAACTCCACTTTTCCACTACAGCAGTAATGGAACAATCTGCTACTATGAACCTATCACTTGTGTTGATAATACAGTTTCTAATTCCTAGGAAAGAAACAAAATATTACTTAGTAATAACATCATACAGTCTCTCAATAAAAGTTTTATCCAACTTCTTTTATTACTCCCCTGAAAGTCTGAATGATACAAATTATTATCATCATGTAGAAGGAGACACACCTTGGCGCTGACTTCTGGCATTTTTGAAGGACTCTTCACATTGCACACCAGATGCAAAACATGCCGTTTTTCCTGCTAAAAGTAATAAGAAGGCACTTAACGACCTGAACCTAACCTGGTGAGTGCTTAAAAACATTCAGAGGTTAATGTGTAAGTGAGGTACCTTTGGAAGCAAGTCCCTGAGACATTGGTGATCCAACAACAGCTTCCCAGAATAAATTAACCTCTGGTCCTCCGGACGCTGATCATGGAAAGAAAAACACAGGTCAGCATTTCACCCCCAAAAGTTCCTAAACACAGAAGAAACTGTTTTAAACAAGTAATTTGATTATGTGTGTTTCCCTCCAGCATCACAGGAAAATACCTTCTCAAAAACCCCACATACAAAACTTCTATTTAGAAAGTGTCTAACTTTAACTGGTCTCTAACATGCAAATAAGCACAGAATGGCAAATTATCGGCTGGGCACAGAGGCTCATGCCTATAATTCAAGCACTGTGGGAGGCCAAGGCGGGCGGATCACCTGAGGTCAGGAGTTCGAGACCAGCGTGGCCAACATGGTGAAACCCCATCTCTACTAAAAATGCAAAATTAGCTGGGCGTGGTGGCTTATGACCGTAACCCAAGCTACTCAGGAGGCTGAGGCAGGGGAATCACTTGAACCCGGGAGACAGAGGTTGCTGTGAGCCAAGATCACGCCACTGCACTCCGGCCTGGGCAACAGAGTGAGACCCTATCTCAAAAAAAAAAAAAAAAAAAGGCAAATTATCTCCAGTCCAAACCTATGGCAATGTACTTCTTAACTCCCAGGTAAACTGATTCCTGTTACTAAAAGCAACAAACAGCAAACAGGGCACCTACAACCAAATCGAGTTCGGTTTCAGAGAAAACTCAAGAGTACTCCCAAGGCCAGCCTTAACCAAAACCACCTAGCAGTGCTCCAAAATAATGTGAAGCTATCCTAAACTGAAGCCTTCACAGATGATTTCCTGGCATACAAATGCAGTTATAGAGGAGATGGCATGTGGGTGACATTATACACAACCACCCTGTGAGATTTAGTAATCCCTATTTTAAGGGAGGAAAGTCTGAAAAACTGACTTGTCCAAGGTCATCTGCTGCCACAGTGTCACAATTCCCACCCCTCTTCTCCATATCACCGATTTTAACGCCACAGGGACTGCACACTCTTTTATACAAATCTCATTTTTAAAATCTATTTGAAACTGCTTCTAAACTGTACTTAAAAATAATGGCTTCAAATAATATTAACATATAAACTGTCTATTGGAGATCACTAACGTGTTAATCTACTCGTGCCAGAATAACTGATTATGCAAAACCTGGAATAAAGGTGTTCCTGCCAAGTAGCTTGAGATAATTAAAGCAAGCTGTTTAAAACAAACAAAACGGCAAAAAGTGCATCTACTTATCCATATACATCAGGACTTTTTGACACTGTAACTGAACCAAAATAAATATACTGAATGCTGTGTTCACCGGTTTTCTCACTGACAGGTGAGAACTTTAAAGGTAAATGCTAATATATCCATAAATTTGTAGAACAGTACCTTTTGTATATGTAGGGTCCTGCATTTTATTAGAGTTCAACCACTAGAAAAGGCTAGAAAACCACAGCTGCCAGTGGTTTTCATTTTCCCTCTTTTAAAGGCCTAACTTGATATTGAGTCTTCACGCAGATGGCTAATTTGAAAAATATTAAATAGGCCGGGCGTGGTGGCTCACGCCTGTAATCCCAGCACTTTGGGAGGCCGAGGCAGGTGGATCACGAGGTCAGGAGATCGAGACCATCCTGGCGAACACGGTGAAACCCTGTCTCTATTAAAACTACAAAAAAATTAGCCGGGCGTGGTGGCGGGCGCCTGTAGTCCCAGCTACTCGGGAGGCTGAGGCAGGGGAATGGCGTGAACCCGGGAGGCGGAGCTTGCAGTGAGCCGAGATCGGGCCACTGCACTCCAGCCTGGGCGACAGAGCGAGACTCCGCCTCAAGAAAAAAAAAAAAAAAAAGAAAAGAAAAATATTAAGTAAAGTCAACGACTATTACAAAGTAGACCTTATAATATACCATTTTCTACCACAGAAAACAAATCATAAGTATGTTTCAGCCATAATAATTTTTAGACACAAATTTGTATACCTGAGAGGTATTTGTTTACCATCTCAGGTCTTCAGACTGAACAGATGGGAGCCGCGTTCCTCACCAAAGGAAGCCCTTAAGAAAAACCCTCCTCCAAAACCCTGCCTTTTGCCATATGATGCAACCATAGGCTACACCTGCTTCACCAATTTGTGTACCCAATAGCCATTCTCATGGCAACACAGCCACCCAGTTTCTTGGAAGCAGTTATAGTGAAACTGAAAAATGTGCCAGGGTGAATTCTAGAGGACATGGAATGCAAGCTTACGAAATAAATATGCAAATTTCAAAATAACAACTCAGAAGGAAAACTCACTTCTAAAACATTCTTAACCATATGGAACAAAAACAGACACAGGCGCTACCACAAGCTGGAACTCACGACTTCACTATCTTTTCCTGCCCGGATGCCCTCTCCTGTGTGATGAAGAATTATGCTCGTGGGCAGTGAAGAACACTGCTGACACTTACATAATATCAGAGCAGAAAGTAAATACAGGAAGGGCCGGCTTACAGCCTCATCACGTGGTGGCCCGGGCAGGCGGTGCTAAGGGTGATGTTGACAGATGTGTCAACCAAAACAAAGCAAGGAAGACTTGCTAATAATGGAGAGGCTGCCGTCCTAAAACCAGACTGAAGGCGACTCCTGCCTGCTTCCCTTCTCAGTCGCTCTTGGTCAGAAAGTGCACGGGGCTCCACCCCGGGACTCGGCAACGGCTGCGCGGTCCAGTGCGACAGGGAGGGGCACGGCGGAAGGTGGACAGGGAGGAGAAGAGCCACGTCCTGCTTCTGGGTGTAGGGCCTTCCGTCCACAGTGTCTGGGCGGTCCCCAGGTTTCTCAAGCCACGGCCCCGGGTGGCACCTGCCCGCTCCTCTCCCGGCAGAGAGGCTGCGTTCAGAAACCTCATTTTGCAGCACGGATGTTTTCTTACTTCTAGCCATTGGATGCAAGCTCAGTTAGGAACACCGAGGTGCCTGGCCGCTGGGGGGAAAGAGGCTTGGAGGGTGAAATGACTCGCCCAAGGTCAGGCTGCTGATTACTGACGGCCCCAGGGCAACAGAGGGGAGCCAGCGTCGACGGGGCAGGGAAGGAGAGACCACAGCCCTGGGGGAGGTGACCGGCCGGGCGATCGCAGCCGTCAGGGGGAGGAGGCCACAGGACAGGGCAGGCGGACGTGGCATTCCTAGCAGAGGGCGGGGGACCACAGCCTAGGGGCGGGAATTCGGGGCCGCTCTCACCGGACGCTCGGGGTAGACGCGGCTCAGGTGGGCCTTGAGGTGGCCCACGCTCCAGCTGCGGTCTCCACTCAGCTCCAAGTCGCGGTGGCGCTGGTTGGGGCTCTTCACCAGGAGCGTGACGGGTTCGGGTTCGGTCTCGGACTCCATGGCGGCGTCGGGGCTCCTCTGCGCTCCGAGGTGCCAGACAGGCGGCGTAGCAGCCGCCCGCAACCTCCGCAACGGCCGTTCGCGTCTCTGGGGCGCGCGCCCCCGCTTTGGGCGCCTTTTATAGGAGCCCCGCGCCCGGCTCTGCTGACTGAACGCTCTGTGGCTGCCGCCCATTGGCTGAGGCGGAGGCACTGTCCCAACGTGGCCCAATCGGCGCCCGGATCCGGGTGGCAGAGGGCGGACCGAGCACGTGGGCGCGGGCTGATGCAACCCGCCGCCTCTGCGTCACCCCGAGGCGCGGCTGCGCCCCGGGAACCCGAGTTCGGCGGCCATGTTTGGGTGCGCTGCAGGCCGCGCGGGGAGCTTGGCCTGAGACCTGGGGGACCCTCAGCTCGGGTGGCTGAGGGCGCCCGAGGCAGGGGGTAGGGAGTGGGGTGTCCCAGCAGACCCCAGTTTAGCAGTCTCTGCAAATTGTTTCCTCACAAAGCCGCACCCCCACCCTTTTTCACCCCAGGTGCCAGTGCCCACTTCCCGTTTTTCTGCCTCCGGTGGCCCCACGTGGAAACCTACGGGGAAGCGCGTCCTACAGGGGAAGACTACCCACTCGGCCCTCAAAGAAAGGCTGGGCGACCCCGTGTGCAGGGCCACCTAGGAGAACACCAAGTGTTCCTAAGGACAACGAAGGAGCGAGGCCAGATCTTCCTTGGGCTGGGAGGATGAAGGCATCCAGGCAGCTGTTGCCAATTTCCCTGGGCCTCAGACTTAAATGTTTGGGACATCACCCTTATGATGATTGACAAGTCAGCCACAGTCCTGCGCACACTGGACCCCCCCCCAAAGGGCATCACTTTATAAGATACACATGCACCTGTTAAATGGGGGCTGAGACGAGGAGGGCGGGGTTCTCCGATTCCCAAAGTGGGACCATAAAGACCTCTGTATTGTAGGCATTCCTTCCTCCTCCTCTGTAGCAAAAAAAAAAAAAAAAAAAAAAGTCTTGAAAAAAAAAACTGACATCGCCCCGGCCATCTCCTTGTTCCAACCGCCTTGGGACATCTGTTTTTTCAGGTGTTGTCAGGAGCTTGCCAAGGGCAGGAAGGTAACAGGAGGAGCCTGGTCTGGCTGGTGGGTATATTCATCTACTGCAGCTGCCATAACAAAGTGCCACAAACTGGATGGCTTAAGACGGGGTCCCCAACCCCCCGCCCGCACCCCCGACCATGGACCACTATGAGTCCCTGGCCTATTGGGAACCAGGCGGCACCACAGGAGGTGAGCCAGCAGCCAAGCTTCATCTGTATTTACAGCTGCCCCCTATCGCTGCATTACCACCTGAGCTCAGCCTCCTGTTAGATCGGGGGCATTACATTCTCATAGGAGCCGAACCCTATTGTGAACTGTGCACGCAAGTGAACTAGGCTTTGCTCCTTACGAGAATCGAATGCCTGATGATGGGAGGTAGAGCTGAGTTGGTGATGCTAGTGCTGGGAGTGGCTGCAAATACGGATTAACATTAGCAGAGAGGTTTCACTGCACAGAGGCCATGATAAATCAATTGTTTGCAGACTCGTATCAGAACACTATCAGTGAGTGGCAAGTTGCATCTGGTGGCAGGCTTTACAGTGGCAAGTGTATGTACTTCAGTTGTACAGCTGCATCTGGTGGCCTTAAAAGTATGTTTGAGGCCGGGCGAGGTGGCTCATGCCTGTAACCCCAACACTTTTGGAGGCCGAGGCGGGCAGATCACGAGGTCAGGAGTTCCAGACCAGCATGACCAACATGGTGAAACCCTGTCTCTCCTAAAAAATACAAAAAATAGCCGGTCATGGTGGCACGCACCTGTAATCGCAGCTTCTCAGGAGGCTGAGGCAGGAGAATTGCTTGAACTCAGAAGGTGGAGGTTGCAGTGAGCCAAGATTGTGCCATCACACTCCAGAGTGAGACTCTGTCTCAAAAAAAAAAAAAAACAAAAAAACAAAACAAAACAAAACAAAAAAACTAAACAACAACAACAAAACAGAATGTTTGAGACAACTTCAAATCTCCACATGTCCTGGATTAAAGTCTAGGCTTTAATCCTGAGATGGCCACAAAAGCACTGAAAAGCCTGCTTTCATTTCCAACACCCTTTTTTTTTTTTTTTTTTTTTGAGACAGGGTCTCACTCTGTCTCCAGGCTGAAGTGCAATGGCACAATCTCTGCCCACTGCAACCTCCGCCTCTCTGGTTTAAGCCATTCTCATGCCTCATGCCTCCACCTCCCGAGTAGCTAGGATTACAAGAGTGTGCCACCACACTTGGCTATATGTATATATTTTATTATTTTTAGTAGAGACAGATGGAGTTTTGCTATGTTGGCCAGGCTGGTCTTGAACTCCTCGCCTCAAGTGATCCATCTGCCTTGGCCTCCAGAAGTGCTGGGATTACAGGTGTGAGCCACCACGCCTGGCCTATTGCAACATCCTATCTCTGTGAAGCAGGGTTTTCTGCACGTGGACAGCAATCAAAATGAGGAGACTCGACATAAGTAACATCCTTCGGGTGTCACTGTCTCCCATCTCCCACAGATGGGACCGTCTAGTTGTAGGGAAAACAGTAGGGTTCCCGCTGATTCTACATTATGGTGAATTGTATAATTATTTAATTATATATTACAATGTAATAACAACAGAAATAAAGTGCACAATAAATGTAAGTGCTGTCGAATCATCCTGAAACCATGCCCCCCACCCCACCTCTGTGCTATGGAAAAACTGTCTTCCACAAAACTGGTCTCTGATTGTATGGGGTGATGTATCAATTCTAAGTTTGGAGTATATGCATCAATCATATTAAGGTTATTATGTTAAGCTTATTGGTAAAATGACGAGAGATAGACCACATTTTCTTTTCAATTTGGTTTTGTAACGTTAAGCTACGCCTGGAATTCATCTTCAAGATAATTGTTGTCTTGTTTTTAATCCTTTTCAAAAAGATGATTTATATTGTATTATAGGAATTTTACAGGTGCCTGTAAATGCAGGTTTTCTGATAACTTTTGGAAGGATTGGCACAGGTGAGTAATGAAAAGTGTACAGAATTATGAAGGCCGTGAGAATGTTCAATGAATATCAAACAAGCGGTGTTACTGCATGGACTAAACTATTAGAAGTCTGAAGTAATTCCTTTTCACTCTTCTGTTTAAGAACATTACTAATCTTGTTTTGTTCATTCAGAGATCAAGCAAACTTTTGAAGCTGATCTGCAGCTTTTAAAAAGAACCAAAATTGAGTTGAAGGTATGACTCTTGTGAACAAAATTTGGAGCACTATTTGTTTTCTCTGCCTGGGTTCGCTCTGTTAATTTGGAAACCTAGTTGTAAGTATTCTTAACTTGATGGCAATATAGTTGGTTGTTGAGTCGAGTGGAATAAAAATCAATGTGTTCTTTTGCAGAAGGACACATTGGAGAATGGGTTATTTTAGTAAGCTTTGCTTGTCAAGGTGTGTTTCCTTTAAGGATCGAAGCATTAACTCGCGCAGAACCGAATAAGGCGGCCCCTTGGGAAACTGGCG